AACTTGATTTTGTAAGTCTGAGTTCGTTCTTCCTCTCCGTAAATCTTATCGTTGATTTCATAATTTGTCGTACTCGTAGGCATCGAAGCCGCTTCAATGCCCAAGTAAGATGGTTCAAAGCAAAAAATAGGCGGGGTTCTCATCAGCGCACGTCCTACCGTTGGAGGAGCATTTTGCGAAATACGACCCTACTCGGAATTCCCTTTTCTGGTACGACCAAAACTACCGTTGAGCGAGAAAAGTCGGAGCGGAGCGGAAAACATTTTCTTTCAAGGCACACCCAGGTTCAAAGATGGTGACAAGATGGTAATCAACACAAAAGTAAAGAGAAAACCCGAAAAAAAAACCGCCTGAGATGCCACATTTGGAGCCCCTATGCTGAGCTCTAGATGCGCAAAGCGAAGAAAGGGCGTGGTCGGATGAGTTCTCACTTTTTGCTGCCAGTTCTATCCCTCACTTTCTCTATTTGACACGGAAGAAGTAGCGGAACAACCGCACCGTCAGGGAGCAGTTAAAGATGTGTGGGCGTCAACGTGGGCAGTAGGCGGAGTCGTGGTTCCGTTACGAGTAGGCAGCGCTTTCCTAATGTCTTGTTGAGTTGCGAAGAAAGAAAATAGTACGTAATTCATGCATGCAAACAGGACTACCACGGCCAAGGAAGGCGTCTGATCACCAAATTAATGCGGGGCGGGCCCTTAAGGGCAAATACGTCCCCTCCTCCCTTCGCTGGGATCGTCAGCGCAGGATGTGTCCTGGTTCTCATCCTTTGCCCCTGTGTTGCTCGTCTATTGATCATTCCTTGCCTTTGCAGTTCCAAAAGACGAGGAAGACTGGATCTAGAGAAGGAATATTCGCCTTTTTTTCTTTTTTCTTCTTTTTTCCTCCGTTTTAGTCGGGCTTTAAAGCTGCTCCGATGCTCTGAGTAGGTTAACGAAGCAACAGATATAAACCTGGAATCTTATTTCAGTCGACTATCGCGCGAGCTTTGATACTGAACCAAGCTACTAATGCAAGTGATCCGAATGCACAGAAGACGGTGAGGATCGGGGCTGTTGAAAATGAAGTAGGTTATTCGTAAAAGGTTTATATCAAAGGCACCGTTGAGGATTGCCGCGTGGGGGTGGTCAAGAAACGATGTTGTCGGCGTAACCCTCCTCTTTCTTTGCTTCTGCGTTCAGATAGGCAGTTGAGAGGAGGTGCACACCAATGGTGTCGTTTTTCCTGGCTCCGCCCGCAGGGAAATCCCAACGGTGGCTTGAAAGAACTTATCAATTCTTCAAGATGTTCTCACTCAAGAGGATTTTCTTCAGAAAAAGCCTGGCCGAATATCAGATGGAGTCAATGGCAGCCAAGGTCAGAGTCGTGCTACGTGCATAGTACGTAAACTATCATTTTACACAATTCTTCTTGATTTTAATAGTTTTTGAAATAACTATCTTATTTTTCACCGCCCAGCGTTTTAAAAATGTTTCAGTGTATACCCGTAAGGTTGCTGGACACGTGCAATACATTCCCCCAGTCGAGTTCGATGGTAAGTGCAATTGATAAATATTGATTTCCGTCTCGAACCGTTTTTTTAATCTTTCTCAGAAACACTTGGCTCCAAGTGTTCGGTTATTCAGCGCTGTTGGCTCAGAGGGGCATTTTGCACGTTTGCTAGTTTTTTTTTGTTAATTCATGTAAGATAACATCCCAGATCGGTGAGACCTATGAACTCATGTGAAGCTAGGAAATGGTGCGAGTAAGCTACTCTGGTCGCAGGAACTTACAGGCAGGGTGCAGCATCGTGATAGAATGGTGAAGTTGGTGATGTAGGTACGGACCCACCACCTCGAGAGCAGGGGTGTCAGTGGGCCCTCCCACCTGCAACGAGCGTCTCGCCGTACCGACCTCTCAGCCCCCCCCCTTCCCCAACGCCTGCCTACCACTTTCCCCACATTCTCCAGTTTTTCACCCAAAGATTTTCCGTCGAGTGGGTGTATATAGCCAATGTGAAACGAGAGAATGTCTTAGATTTCCCCAGCTCCCTACCACTTTTTCCGGAATTTAATTTCCCCAAAAAATTTTCCTACTTTTTCCCAAGATTTTTCCTGTCGAGCGGAGTAGGGGGGGGTATATAGTGCACATGAACCCACATGAAACAGAAAAATCACGAAAAGTCAACTACACAAGAACTCGCAACACGACAAAGGCACATATGACCCCCCCCCCCCCCCACCCCAACATCGACCAAATACGACCCTCCTCCCAGCGAAAAAGTACGACCCCCTATGTGTTTCACACAACGATGCTGTACCCTGCTTACAGGTCTTTACAAGGCTGTCTGTCTGGATATCTCTATTTCCCCCACTGAGCCGAACTGCGACGTTAATTTTTACTTGTTTGTAACAAGCACGGCGCTACTCCTGCAATGTAGAGCAAGTGCTGGAAGGCGCATTGGTGATGAGCAGAGTGGATGAGGTTTTCTGCCCAGGTGTGAAGTCGTAATCCTATTGGCGAGAGAGGGCTATAGCGTAATTCAACGGGCTATGCCGGTATTTGTTCCTTGCCTTCAAGGAACGTATTGCCGTTGAGAGAAAGTTTCACGAAGTACGACCTCATCAAAGGTTTCGTCTTTGGTGCGACCCTAGTTTTCCACTCCCCTATCCATCTTACATACCACCACCCCATTGAATTCTCCTGCCTTTCTACCAGTTTTTCGGAGCTTTTTCCCCAGAATTCTTAGCACCAAGTGAAAGAGTTTCGTGATGAGTGAATCGACTTTCAAAACAAGCTTCGATAGTTCCGACTCGCGGCATAGTATGCAAAACAGCAACTCTAGCTAGTTGACTCGACGCAACTTTTTTGCGTCAAATCTGCCCTTAGTAGCCCACGTCTCACAGCGCTTACACTCTAGTTCGCTGCGGACGGTTGGGCGTGTCAGGCAGTATGAGTGTGTCATCCTGTCAAAGCGTTCTCTGCCTTCTTGTTGAAGCGCGCATGCGACAAAAAGTGGTAAAAAAACAGTAATGCGAATGATATGATACAGTCATGTCATTTGCTCGCTTTAACAACTGGTGGAGAACGGGTTTGGCATCGCGCCAAACTCATCCCGCCTGACACACCCAACCGTCCGCAGGAACTTCACTATACTTCACAGCCTAACATCAAGGATTTTACTTTTGATAAATGATTGTGATTCCTTCCCACTGAAGGTTTGAGCACACGCACGTTGTACGTTGAGAATCCCCATAGATGGTTGAGTTCCTAACAAGGGGGGGGGTCGAATTAGATCTGGGAGAACTTTGTCCTGATATGAAATTTTTTCCCGTTTCAAGCGCGCATTATATACTCCCCTTACCAGCACCCGTGTATACGGTCATGTTCATCAAAAGCGATTTGAGTTATAGGATAGCATTCATCTAGTGATGCCTGAAAGTTGGAACGATCTGGACGAACATTTTAGATTGTCCAGTTCCCTGGCATAGGGCTCAAAGATTCATAGGAAGAAATGCCGTGACTCGCTGATTCGACTGTACTGAGTTGACTAGGGAGAAGGGCGGACGGTCAAATGGGGCTCCGGTACCGTAGTTGTCCCCCTTACCAGACCCCCCGCATACCGTATTCTGATCCGGACGACTTGTCCACATTAGCCAATCCCTTGATTGACGTCCTTGATCACCATTCCCTGGCAGGACGCCAGATAAGTGATGGCTGGTTTACATGCGATGCCGACTCGGATCTAATGAGCTACACCCCAGTGTATTGCCCCTCTCAGCGAATCTATAACTACAAATGTGGTATCAAGCCGTTGGACTGAGCGTGCTGCTGCTCTTTGTATTTTCAGTCATGCTGAAAGTTCAGAGAGGAGAGAGGTAGAGACACTTGTATAAGAGACGTGGGCTCGTCGTACGTTTGGGATCGTCAGCGAAGGGGGGGTCGTTTTTTGTTTCCGGAAAAGATGTTCTGGGTGTGGAGTTTCCTCGGTATTCCTGTTTCAAGTGCGCTACATATCCCTTCCCCTCGACCGCGTTTTTTTTCTGGAGTAAAAGCTGAAAAGTTTTGGAAACACCAGGTAGAAAGTAAGATCTGTTGACGAAGATGGTGAACAGGATGGGGAAAGCGGGTGCCAAAAGAAGTCTGGAGGGGGGGGGGCGAGAATGATAGTCTCGTATTTTGGAAAATTTTTCCACAAAGGCAGATAAGAGGGCTGCCTTGGGAACACGCAGCCGTCCCGGGAGACGCCCCTTCTTCACTCTCCGGAATGCACTGTACATTGTGCATCGAAATGCCTTATCTTACTGAAGTAATGCTGTAAATACTTTTGTTATTACCTACCACCTTTTTTATTTTCAATTGCATTTTAATTAGTTTTATTTAGTGCGTCGTCCCGCGATCTCTCCCTTCCGCAGACCGAATAGCGAGCAATAACGTGTGCTTGGTTGGTTTATTAGCTTGTTTGTTGTTTGTTTCTTACATGTTCATGTTTCTCAGGAAAAAATCAAGCATTTTTAGCAGGACCAGAGCAGCCACTTCTCTGATAATGGGCCGTCGTCGTCAGCCCAGGAACAGCATCTTTCGCATTGCGATCAATTCTATAACCTTGTTCGTCAGCTTACTCCAGAGATGCTGTCGCAACGAGTTGAAGGAAGCGAAAATGAGCGGCCAAAACAGGGCCCTCAAGGACAGGCCTTATTGGCTCGAGTACGGATGTTTTTCGACGAATTGAAAGCGTTATTAGGTACCACTTGCAGAGGAACGATATTCGATTCACCTACAGCTCTGACAGCAGCGGCATGTGGTGTCTCAAAGAGTGCCGTTGTTCGACTTGGAAACAGTTTAGAAGAACTGAGTAAATTCCCAATAGAACCTCCGAAAAAGTATGTACGTATCCGCAGCCGGAGACAAGAAAGGCTGGCAGCGCTCAAGAATCACGGCCATAAATGGGGAGATATAGTCCGTCAGTTGGTACGCAACAAGCTTAAAGAGAAAGCTGACGTCAGATTGTACACGTTACATAGGGTACTGAAGACGACCTATTCCGATTTCAGCCTTTCTACGAGTACTCTTTATCGATTGATGAGAGCGCTTGGGTTCATCTATACCCAGATGAAAGGCGGAAAGTATAAGCTCCACGAAGACCCGTCTACACAGCTATCTGAGGACATGGAAACCACTTCTCGCAAAAACGACAGTGGAAGTGAAGAAAGTGAAGGAGTGGAATGCGATTTTGATGAGATGGAAGACGATGATGAACCATGGGTGCTTGAAAGCATGGAGAAAGATAAGGACGACGAGACTGAGCCATTCTATGTTTTCCGTCCAGCGAAGACGGCTGCAAGTACCGATGGTGCTGATGAGGCTTCTGAGGCTTCTGTGGCTACGGGTGATCAGACGAATGGCTAAATCTACTTTATGCATTATTGGATGATAAATGAGCTCATGATTCTACGTGGTCTCAAAATAAAAACTTTCAATTAATACACTATTGTGTGGAGAAGTACAAGAAGACGTTCTAGGTGAACTAGAGTAACAAGAAGCACTTTGAAGGCCTATTCCGCGAGTAAATCGATAGGGCGGGCGAACGCACACTATGAGGGCCCTTTTCGTTATAGGCGGCGCTTCTTCACCAGAATGAGTATTGGTGCAAAGCCCCTTGACCAATGGGGCAGTGACTTATGAGTGCTCCACCCTATGAGGATATTCGTTTTCAAGCATCAAAGCTCGTCAAATGTGATGGTGTTCAGACGCCACGTTTCAAAAAACCTGACGATGGAAATTAGCCTTTAGATAGCCCTGGAAATCGTCCCAGATCGTGCTACAGTGATTTATTCACATGTGGAGAAATCGAACAAAAGCAGTGAATTCGAGACGTCAGTGCGGGCGCCGAACGGACGAGTAAGAAAGATAGGTTTACATGACGTTAGAGCACATCATTAGTTGGGGATTGGTTGAGTCCGTACGACCCGGCCCTTTCTTTAGGGGGTGAGAACGACCCCAACTGCTTTCTCTTCGTCGGCAGGGGGCGTAAATTAGGACATGTGTAAGGAAAACCCACGAAGGAAAGCTACGACCCATTTACTAATGCTACAATGTCCCTGAAACAGGAAACATCAGTTGACAAAAAAATTTTCCCACCCCCTCCCCCTCTCCCGGCAACAAATATGAACCCTCCGTTGGAGATTTTCAAACAACGACGTGCACTGCGTGTCGTGATATTGACACGCATTGAATTCGTGGTCCCGTGACCGCGTCCAGGAATTTCAGCATTTCAAAAAATCAGTACCGTCGAGCGGTAGGAGGAGAATATGCAGCGCGCTTGAAACAAGAAAAGTCGACATCCAGAAACGTTTTTCTCAGCATCAGGTGCGACCTCAACCCTCCCTCCAGAGACGAAATACGGCACCTCCGCGATGGGCATCTCCAACAAGTGACCTGCTCTTCTGGTATCTCATATTAGTGGGACAAAAACCATGCGAGGGGCACTAGTGCTGCAAGTAAATTTGTAAGTCAGGGTGCGCAATTAATTCTTCAATTTTGAATTGAGATCAGGTACGTAGCCCATTTTGAAGATACGCTGAAGAAACTGATGTGCTTGGAATCCATTTTTTGCCCACTGCTCTCAGTTGGAGGGCTAAAAGACACGTTCCGCGATGACAGGACGGAGGCTCGTCGCCACTGTGTTCCTCACTGGTTCCCGCTAGTGCTAACAGCGTAGGCGAGCAAATGGCAGATGAAGTCACAGAGGTTGGGCGTCTTCGTCCATCTGAGAGTCAGGAATGTGTACCTAAGTTTGTGGTTTTCGCACGTTTTGCCTTCCCGTTACCACTGGGCCCCTTTGAAATACGTCATGTATACGGCTCTCAAGGATTATATTATTTTTGGACATTCAAATGTGTTTCACCTGTACAATGGCTTTCGGCAATCCAATGTGTCTTCCTTGTTTCCAACAATAATTGTAATCCCAATGCGCCGTGCTTGTAAGGACGAGAGGATCACCCAACAGTGGCAAAGTTTCGACTAGGCTCTACCG